GATCCAAACAAAACGACCCGCAACCCTAAGCCCTCTAGCCTGATTCCGCTTGTTTTGAGGAATGCTAGACCCTCCCTTAAGAACCCAAAACCTACTTTATTGTAGGGTCCCTATAAATCCCATATTAGGGTTTATAATAAGAACCTACAAAAAAGTGGGTTTGGGGTTCTTGAGGTCAACCAGAAACCCTAACCCCTCAACCCTAAACCCAAACACCTCAACCCTAAACCCTGACCCCTCAACCCTTGGTGGCCTTAGTCAGAGGAGTGTACGAGTTCTTCTAGAACCTTTAAAGGAACCCCCTAAAGAAACCCTAGTAGAATCCGGAAATGATTCCCTAAAGGAACCTTAAGCCCAAAACCCCAAGCCCTAAACACTAAGCCCAAGGGCAAGCGTAGGACAGAAGTTCGAACGTCCAGGGTTTCTTTAAGGCTCGCGTAAGGCTGTAGTTGGGGGTTTAGGGCTTAGGAGTTTCAAGGTTTAGGGCTGAGGGTTTTAAGGTTCAGTTGGGGTCTGTTTGGGGGGTTTGTTTTCAGCCGATTTGGGGTTTATGTAGGGCTCCGAGGGTTCAGCGCGAAAAAAACCTACTCCTAGCCGGAAAACGAACATCCCCAAATCCTCTGACGACCCTATACCGAGGTCTCAAAGCCTAAGCGACCAAAGTCTCCAAACGCCCTGACCTAGGTTTTAGAGGTTTAGGGTTTATCGGGTCTGAGCTCAACATGGTTTAACCATAGCCCTAAACCCTAAACCCTAAACCCTAAACCCTGAACCCTGAACCCTGAACACTGAAGCCTAAGCCCTATCCGATAACCCTAAAAAGCCTAGATGCTTGCTCTTTTCACTTGTCAAAAGCTTCCTTAAGTAGAAAGGGTCGGCCATTTGGGGTTAAAATAGAAGCCAGAAAGTTGGAACATCATTACCCTAAACCCTAAACCTAAACCCCAAACCCTAAACCTGCCCTTAAAAGTAAAGCATAAGGGATCCTAGACCGAATCATCCTAAATCTGCGTTCCGACTTTCAGGGCTTCACTGTAAGGTAAGCCTAGACCTAGCCCTAAACCCTAAACCTAAAACCTAAACCTCAAACCTAATCCCTAAAGCCCGAAAAGCCCCTTCAGCTTCAAATCCTGATCCCTTCTAAGAATGGACCCTGCAACTACCCTCTACCAAACCTATAATTAGGGAATATGCCTTACACTATAGTAACTATATGAGGATCAATAATGAAATACCTACTTTTGAAGGACATTTACGGACCACATGCCGTAATCCTAAACCCTAATCTCGAAACCCTCAACCCTAGACCCTAAGCCCTAAACCATAAGCCCTAAACCCTAAACCCAAAGCCCTAAACCATAAGCCCTAAACCCCAAGCTCTAAACCCGTAACCTTGCGTCCGAAAATAAACGGAACCGCACATCCAGCCTTGGGCGTGGGCCTCGCCGGCTTGCTGGCCGGCGCCCTGGGTCGAAGGAGGCTTAGGGGGTTTAGGGTTTAGGGTTTAGGGTTTAGGGTTTAGGGTTTAGGGGCTTAAAGTAGAATGCTTAAGGCTTACCTTAACCTACCATAACCTACAGTTTCCTAGGTTCCCATTAGGAACCCCACTGCAGTTTTAATAAGGCTAAAAAGTAGGCTTTGCTAGGTTAAGGTAAGGTTAGCAGTTTAAGATTGTAGTTTTGCGGCTGTAAGTAAACCCTAAACCCTAAACCCTAAGGGTTTCAAGGTCTATGCGGCTGTAGGGTTTAGGAGTTTCAAGCGGTTCCTGTCAGGGTCTGTAATGTTTGGTTTAGGGTTTAGGGTTTAGGGGTTTAGGGTGTAGGGTTTAGGGGTTTAGGGTCTAGGGTTTAGGGTTTATGTTTCTTTTTGCCCAAAAAACCTAAACCCAACAAATCCCAAATCCACAAATCGGCCTGGGCATGGCCCATGGATGTGTCGCAGTTGCCGCCCTGCTGGTTGTACCTGGATGTTTTGGGTTTTTTTGGGGTTTAGGGTTTAGGGTCTAGGGGATTAGAGTTTAGGGTTCATGGATTCAGGGTGCTAGGAGATAAAAAGGCTCGGAATGAGCGGTTGGAGGTATTCGGGCTTGGGGGTTGTGAGTACTGGCATGCTCCTGGGGACTTCACTACCTTTGACTTTGTTTGAAGCTCCTCGGGACTTCAGCGCCCTGAGATCCTAGATTTTGAATAACCCCTTTGGAGTTGTAACAGGATACTCATGTAACAGAACTGCTAAGAACACTAACGAGAAGAAAATAAGAGTGATGTCCTCTTGAGGGTGATCACTGGTTTAGGGTTTAAGGGTTACGGTGGTGGTTTAGGGTTTAGGTCACCTGGGTTGCGAGAACTACCTGATTTGAGGGGCTTTGCTCCCGTGGAGCTTGCGGATTTGTTGAACTGGGACGGTTCAGGCCTAAATGCTAAACCGCGAAAGATGTTTAGGATCTAGGATTGGTATTTAGGGCGATGCTCAGCGAGTGTGTTGGGCTTTCTCTCCACAGTCGACAGTCTCATCCCAACATGGAGAAACCGACACCCTCTAAATTCTCAAGCCTAAACACCCACGCCATAAAACACCCAAACATCATGCTGAGAAGCTCTATACACATCCTACCTGTGAAAAGAAACAGCAATCCCATATACTACAGGAAGCCACAGTAATGAGCATAGATATGGGGTTATTGGCCATAATTTCAGGGAACTATATAGAAACTATACGGGGATACTACTACTGAAAATAGCTGTCATTAGAATAACTGTTGCTACTAAGATCCCTGTATTTTGTCATGCCCCCCGGAATCCTCATCGTAGACAAGAAGATCTTCCAAATCCTGCACACAGATCCCTCACCCCTAAACCCTAAACCCTAAACCGTGGTAGTCCAAGTTGCATGTTGTTTCCGCCGCAGCCACCTTTCAATGCTTTTGATGTTTCGGACTTTAGTAATACGGGAGCCCTCACCCCAAAACCCCTACACCCTTAAACCCATAAACCCCGAACCCCTATACAAACCCAGAAACCCTAAACCCCAAACCCCTAAACCCCAAACCCCTAAACCCTAAACTCATAAACCTGAAACGCAAAACAGTAAACCACTAAACCCTAAACCCTAAACCCTAAACCCAAATCCTAACCCCTGAACCCTAAACCCTAAACCCATAAATCCTAAACCCATACACCCTAAAACCCTAAACCCGTAAACCCGAAAGCGCTAGATCCAAGAGTTCATGAGTTGAAGCCCAGAGCTTCGGGTTCATCGCTGTCAGATAAGGGCCGAGATAAATCAGAGTATAAAAGGCTTTGGGGGTTTTGGTTTAGGGGTTTGGGGTTTAGGGTTAAGGGCTTTGGGGGTTTAGGGTTTAGGGGTTTGGGGTTTTGGTTTAGGGGTTTGGGGTTTAGGGTTAAGGGCTTTGGGGGTTTAGGGTTTAGGGTTTAGGGGTTTAGGGCTTTGGGGTTTAGGGTTTAGGGCTTTAGGGGTTTAGGGTTCAGGGTTTATCGCTTTGGGGGTTTGGGGTTTAGGGGTTTTGGGTCATGTTGTCGTCTGATTACAATGCGGAGCCTTTAGGAAGAATCTCTTGACAAGTTTGTCGGCTTTTAATTTTGTATTGGTGCTTAAGACGTGGGTTTAGGGTTGAGGGTTGTAGGGCTGACGGGGTTTAGGGTTTAGGGTTTTTTGGGTTTAGGGCTTTGGGTTTTAGGGTTTATAGGCTTTAAAGCTTAGGGTACAGAGAGTTGTAGGGCTTAGGGTTAAGGGCTTTGGGCCCAACCCTCAAACCACCCGACAACTCCATGCTCCACAGCGACATGTAGATCTTCTCCAGAAGATTGAAGCTTTAGGGCTGAAGTAACTGTCATGGTTTAGGGTTTAGGGTTTAGGATGTAGGGTTTATGGTTTAGGGTTTAGGATTTAGGGCTTTGGGGGGGGGTCCTGCCTTAAATCATAACAGGAATTCCTCATAATAGAAACACTACAGTATACTCTATTTCTATATAGCCTATAGGTACACAGGACCCTTGGGGTCCAAGAACCTACTGCTAAGTTCGGATTTACTGCAGTCCGCAGGCTTCTGGAAAACCGTCCTAGCGAAAGCAGCAATGACTGCTCTTAGAGCACGGGGGAGTTGACACTACTTGGAGGGTCGGGGGACTTAGTAACTAGTTATTATTATTATTATTATCATTATTATTATAGACTTATAAGTACTTATAAGTACCATAACCCCAATTGGGATCCCCTCTAGGGTACTTTATAACTCTACGCCATACCTACTTACTAAGCCCTCTGATCCTCCAAGGACCCCCCATAAAATCCACAGGTCACCATTGCAACCCACAAGGGTCGTTGTCAAAATTATGGTCCCTTTTGGGGTACCCTAAAGAATAGGTGTTGTATTATAATGAGGATCCAAAAGGGACCAGAATTTTGACAACCACCCATATAGGCATGCCCTGAACAAGAACCCTAAACCCTCAACCCCTAAACCCTAAACCCTAAACCCCTAAACCCTAAACCCTAAACCCCTAAACCCTAAACCCCTAAACCCTCAACCCTAAACCCTTAGGTACATGGACTTTTAGGGTTCTCCCACAAGGGTCCAGGGAGGGCTAAGGGTCGTGCGGTTTAAATTCCAGGGTTTCGTGTGTCGAGTAACCCTCAGGTCCCCGAAACCCTAAACCTCTGGAGATGTTGAGGGCTTAGGATTTAGGGTTTAGGGTTTAGGGTTTAGGGTTTAGGTTTAGGGTTTAGGGTTTAGGGTTTAGGGTTTAGGTTTAGGGTTTAGGGTTCATGGTTTACGGTTAAGGTTTAGGGTTTAGGGTTTAGGGTTGAGGGTTTAGGGTTTAGGGTTTAGGGTTTATGGTTTACGGTTAAGGTTTAGGGTTTTTTTTTTTTTAAGCACCTTTTTCCTCTTGCTGTTAGCCGTCGGAAAGCCTCTGAAGGCAGGCGAGTAAAACCCCTCAGTTGATGTAGTTCACCAGGTCATCAGGTCACCGTTCCGGAAGTCACTTCTCATAGCGCCCTTGCCCCTGTCGATCCCTTTCTTGCATCCCTAGGGTTCCTTGGTGGTTGTCCTCCTCCATTTCGTTCCCATAGCGCCCTTGCCCCCGTCGATCCCTTTCTTGCATCCCCAAGGTTTCTTGTTGGCTGTCCTCCTCCATTGCGTCCCCATCGTTGTCCACCATCCATTGCGCCAGAAAGCTGGTCAAAGCATCCTGACCCAGAAGCACGAGCACCTCCGCATCTTTGATCTCCCCCTTCAACCATGCACGATACTTTGCCTCCATCAGCTCCTCCGTCGCCTGTACCTCATGCCCCGACTCCGCGGAGAGCTGGGTGTCGGCCGTCTGTTGCGCGTCGGGAGCTGTCGGTTCTCCTTCATTTGTCTCCGGCAGCCTTGGCAGTCCAACCTCCTCCATCTCGATCCTGAGCACCAATCTCCCTCCACGTAGTCGGGGTACTACGCACTCTGCAGCCGCTTCCACCACCCCCACATCTGTCGACGACCCGGGTGCTTGCACTCCTGCTCCAGATGTGGCCGTGAGCCGGATTCGCTGCCTCCTCGGTGCTGCTGCCGGCTGGTTCAGTACCTCCCACTGTTCCCAGTCTCGATAGTTACTCGCCTGCAGCTCTTGCCATAGTTGAGCAGCGTGGGCTTCCTCTTGCACGTTCCAGGCTTCTTCCTCTCTTTCGTGGTCCTCCTGTTGGCGGTCACGCTCCGCTTGCTGTCGCCTGTTCACTGCCGCCTCATAGTGTTCCTCCTGCAGCTGCGCGTCCGTTGGCTCGTCCGGCTTGCGTCGTTTCCAGAGTTGGGACTGCTGCATGTAGAGCACGTCGTCATCCTCTTCATCATCGACCGGGACCGCAACCATGAAGCTGGCCTGCCTCGTCATCAAAAGCTGACTGCACTCCACCATTAGCATGGCTAGCACCCGCAGCAGACCTCCCATAACAGTCGGCATGTCCTGCTCGTGGAGCCCATCAATCCACTGGAGCTGCTCCGCCGTGTTCGGGAGTGCCGGCTGCAGGGACTGGGAATCCGGGCCCCGGCGCAAGCCGAGAAAATGCAGCCACTGGGCCGTGGCGGCATCCAACGACATAGTAGGCACTGTTGCTCGCGTCGGGGTCGGCCTGGGTCTCGGTGTCGGTCGCCTCGGCTCCAATCTGCGCACTTCCGTGGTGCACCTCTCCCCTCTCGTGGTCCGTGACCTGTCCAACCCTGACCCCGAGCCGCGGGTGTTCGGTCTTCCCTCCCTTGGCCTCCTCGGTCGGTCTTCTTCACTCTCCTCCCGGTCTCTGCTTGACATTCTGCGGCGCGTTCTTTCCATCAAAGAGAAGGCGTCTTCGCCGTCCTGGCTGGTCCGGGCGGTCGTTGGGTGATGTGCTTCAGCACCGTCTTGTCCCACCGTCAAGCCATCAGAGAGGTCGAGGTTGAAGTCGCGTCTGCTCGCTCGATTCGCCCACCTCCCTCGGTCCTCCAGCGACATCGTAGCTTGGGCCCTGGCATTCATGACCTCCTCACTTTCCCATCCTGTCTC